CAGACCAAAAAACAAACAAACAAACAAACAAAAAAACAATATGAACATCAAAAACGTTAGTGCCTACAGTGAGTTAAAACACATTACATACAGAAACGTCTCTGAGTCATGATGATACTCTAATAGAAAAACAAAACACAAAACCAACTCACTGCTCATCTGTGAAGGATCCTACAGAAACAATATTTATTCTTAAAATTGGAAATACTGCAAAATGATTAAATATTTGTCCTACCCTTCCTGTGTGAGCCATACCTCAGTTAAGCCTAATAGTTGGTGGGGGTGGGGGAAGTTTCTCTTATAGAAAATGTCCAGCTAATAAATGTAGAAAAAATTGTAGAATCTAAACATCATTAATTTAGAATTTTTAATGAAATGCAGATCTTGGTAAAGATCTTCAGAGATTATAAAAAATCATGAGTTGGAAAGCAAATAGGAAATTTCATAATTGATGGATCAGTCTAACACCACCTGAGCCCAGTGCTCAATCTTAACATCAAGGCAGGAGTGACAATCAGACACAGTGAGGCTCCTGGTATGCTATGAATTGAATGCTTGTGTCCTCCCAAAACTCATATGTTGAAACCCCAATCTCCAATGTGACAGTATTTGCAGATACGACCTTTGGGAAATAATTAGGTCGTCAAAGTGGAGCCCTCATTATGAGATTAGTGTCCTTATAAGAAGAGACACAGGGAGCTTGCTTGCTCTCTGCATGCACACACCAAGAAAAGGCCATGTGAGGCCATAACCAGGAAGAGGATCCTCACCAGAAACCCAACCATACTGGCGCCCTGATTAGACTTCTAGCTCCCAGACTCATGAGAAGTAAATGTTTGTTATTTAAGCCACCTAGTCTGTGGTAATTTGGTAAAGCAGCCTGAACTAAGAGTTGGTGTAAGGATATAGGAAGCATGTAACACATCTGAGGTACTCTTGTCAAAAAATCCTGAACTGGATAAAGCCTCTAACTCTACTAATTTACAGAAAATAGGAGGGGTCAGAGCAATGTAAGTAACAGCACAATGGGGATACAATCAGCAAAATTGGGAATGTAAACTCCACAAACCAAAGATCCAGTTTAATAAGCAAATACAGGTTGAGTATCCCTAATCTGAAAATCCAAAATCTGAAATGCTCTAATTGAGCATTTCCTTTGAGCATCATGTCAATGATGATAAAATTTCAGATTTTGGAGCCTTTCAGATTTGCAGATCAGGGATACTCAATATGTAAATTGAAAAGCAAAAAAAAAAAAAAAAAAAAGAGAGAGAGAGAAATAACTGTCTTTAGATTAAAAGAGATTTAAAACTTCAGAGAGTTAAATTGAGAAATTTTTAACAAGTAAAATTAAAACCATAATGAGATACCACCACACATACACCAGAAAAAGAAAATTTAAAAGATGGAAAACACCAAGTGTTGGTGAGGATATGGAAGCTGTGTAATTCTCACATCACTGATGAAAACATAAATTCAACAACCACTTTGAAAATGTCCTTGGCAGTATTGACTGAGCTGATCATATACACACCCTACAACTCAGAAATTTCATTCTTAGGTCTGGGGAAGGTATGAACCCAAGAGAAAGAAAAATAAATGTTTATCCAAAGATATGTATAAGACATTCGTAACGCTGTTATTCGTGTCAAAATCTAGAAAAAATCCACATAGCAGATATGTTTATTGTGAAATATCCACTCAATGTAATAATATTCACCAATCATGATGAATATAGACAACAATAAGTATAAATCTCACATACAGTATGTTGATTGAATGAAAAAAGTTAGACAGAAAAGAGAACATGATGTATGATTCTCAGAATTTTTCTTCTAATTTCCCAGTACAGTTTGGGCTATATAAAAAAATAAACACCCCATTTTTTCTTATTTGAAGGTACTTATGTTCCTGTATATGATCTGCAGGTTAACCTCGGAGAAGCACAAATCCTCTGAGCCCTTGAACGGTGAAGCACTACAGATATGAACACAGCTAATGCTGTTGAAATGGTTTGGCTGTGTCCCCATCTAAATCTCAACTTGAATTGTATCTCCTGGAATTCCCATGTGTTGTGGGAGGGACCCAGGGGGAGATAATTGAATCATGGGGACCAGTCTTTCTTGTGCTATTCTTTCTTGTGAGAGTTAATGTGTCTCACAAGATCTGATGGGCTTATCAGGGGTTTCCGCTTTTGCTTCTTCCTCATTTTCTCTTTCTTGTCACCACTATGTAAGAAGGGCATTTCACCTCCCATCATGATTCTGAGGCCTCCCAGCCATGTGGAACTGTAAGTCCAATGAAACCCTTTTTGTTCCCAGTTTCGAGTATATCTTTATCGGTAGCATGAAAATGAACTAATATAGTAAAATGATACCAGTAGAGTGGGGCATTGTTGAAAAGATACCCAGAAATTGGAAGCAACTTTGAAACTGGGTAACAGGTAGAGGTAGGGGCAGTTTGGAAGGCTCAGAAGAAGACAGGAAAATGTGGGAATGTTTGGAACCTCCTAGAGACTTGCGGAATGGCTTTGCCAAAAATGCTGATAACAATATGGACGATAAGATCCAGACTGAGGTGGTCTCAGATGGAGATGAAGAACTTGTTGGGAACTGGAGTAAAGGTGTCTCTTGTTATGTTTTAGCAAAGAGACTGGTGGCATTTTGCCCCTGCCCTAGAAATTTGTGAAACTTTGAACTTGAGAAAGATGATTTAGGGGTACCTGGCAGAAGAAATTTCTAAGCAAAAAAGTATTCAACAGATGGCTTGGGTTCTGTTAAAGGCATTCAGTTTTATAAGGGAAGCAGAACATAAGAGTTTGGAAAATTTGCTGCCTGACTATGCAATAGAGAAGAAAAACCCATTTTCTGGGGAGGAATTCAAACTGGCTGCAGATATTCACATAAATAGCAAGGCGCCTAATGTTACTCCCCAGGACCATGGGGAAAATGTCTTCAGGCTATGTCAGAGATCTTCAAGGCAGCTCCTTCCGGCACAGGCCTGGAGGCCCAAGGTTTCATGGGCTGGGCCTAGGTTTCCCATACTGTGTGTAGCCTAGGGACTTGGTGCCCTATGTCCCAGCTGTGGCTGAAAGAGGCCAACATACAGCTCATGCTGTGGCTTCAGAGGGTGGAAGCCCCAAGCCTTGGCAGCTTCCACATGGTGTTGAGCTTGCAAGTACACAGAAGTCAAGAACTGAGGTTTGAGAACCTCCATCCAGATTTCAGAAGATGTACGAAAACTCCTGGGTTCCCAGGCAAAAGTTTGCTGGAGGGGCAGGGCCCTCATGGAGAACTTCTGCTAGGGCAATGCAGAAGGAAAATGTGGGGTTGGAGTACCCACAGAGAGTCCCTACTGGGGCAGGGCCTAGTGGAGCTGTGAGAAGAGAGCCACCATCCTCCAGACCCCAGAATGGTAGAGTCACTGACAGTTTGCACCATATGCCTGGAAAAGCTGCAGACACAAAATGCCAGCCCATGAAAGGAGCCGGGAGGGAGGCTGTACCCTTCAAAGCCATAGGGCAGAGGTGTCCGAGACTATGGGAACCCACCTCTTGCATCAGTGTGATCTGGATGTGAGACCTGGAGTCAAAGGAGATCATTTTGGAGCCTTAAAATTTGACTGCCCTGCTAATTTTTTGTATATTTAGTAGAGACGGGGTTTCACCATGTTGACCAGGATGGTCTCGATCTCTTGACCTAGTGATCCACCCACCTTGGCCTCCCAAAGTACTGGGATTACAGGCAAAAATACAAAAAATTACTGGGCATGGTGGCAGCGTGCCTGTAATCCCAGCTATTCAGGAGGCTGAGGCAGGAGAATTGCCTGAACCCAGGAGGCGGATGTTGCGGTGAGCCAAGATCGCACCATTGCACTCCAGCTTGGGTAACAAGAGCGAAATTCCGTCTCAAAAAAAAAAAAAAAAAAAAAAAAATTGACTGCCCTGCTGGATTTTGGACTTGCATAGGCCCTGTAATCCCTTTGTTTTGGCCAATTTCTCCCATTTGAAATGGCAGTGTTTACCCAATACCTCTATCCCCATTATATCTAGGAAGTAGCTAGCTTGCTTTTGATTTTATAGGCTCACAGGTGGAAGGGAATTGCCTTGTCTCAGATGAGACTTTGGACTGTGGACTTTTGGGTTAATGCTGAAGTGAGTTAAGACGTTTAGGGACTGTTGGGAAGGCATTATTGGTTTTGAAATGTGAGGATATGAGATTTGGAGGGGACAGGGGTGGAATTATATGGTTTGGCCGTGTCTCCATCGAAATCTCAACTTGAATTTTATCTCCCTGAATTCCCACATGTTGTGGGAGGGATGGGGATGGGGTTAATTGAATCATGGGGGCTGGTCTTTCCTGTGCTATTCTCCTGATAGTTAATGAGTCTCAGGACATCTGATGGGATTATCAGGGGTTTCTGCTTTTGTTTCTTCCACATTTTCTTTTGCTGCTGCCATATAAGAAGAGTCTTTCCCAGCACTTTGGGAGGCCGAGGCGGGCGGATCACAAGCTCAAGAGATCGAGACCATCCTGGTCAACATGGTGAAACCCCGACTCTACTAAAAATACAAAAAATTAGCTGGGCATGGTGGCGCATGCCTGTCATCCCAGCTACTCAGGAGGCTGAGGCAGGAGAATTGCTTGAACCCAGGAGGCGGAGGTTGCGGTGAGCCGAGATCGCGCCATTGCACTCCAGCCTGGGTAACAAGAGCGAAACTCCGTCTCAAAAAAAAAAAAAAAAAAAAAAAAGAGTCTTTCACCTCTCACCATGATTCTGAGGCCTCCCCAGCCACATGGAACTATAAGTCCAATTAAACCTCTTTTTGTTCCTCGTTTTGGGTATGTCTTTATCAGGAGCATGAAAATGAATTAATACAGCTATGTATAATAGACATGCAGCTGGATATGAAGCAGGAGACATACTTGGCTATAGCACCAGACCTATCCCACTAACTCTAGGTGTCCTTGAGCAAGTCCCCACACTGCATCTATACTCACCTGGCAAAGAGGGACTGAGTAGCCCTGCCTCCAGCAAGATCTCAGGGACAGAGAGCAATGTGATTCCCATCTGGAAAACCACTCTGAGTTCCTAAAAGGGAAAAGAATTCATTCATCATGGGGGTCCAAGGAATTATCTACCTCAACAGCCAAGTTGTCTAGTACAAAGTAATTATGATGTTTAGTAATGTTTTTATTTTTTAAATTATTACTTTTTCTTAAATAAATACCATCTGTTACAATGTAGAATGACTAGAGAAGCATAGATAAAAGAGCTATGGTCTCAATGTTACACCAACCACCATGGGCTGACATAGTTCAACAAATGTCTGCTTCTTCTTCCTAAGTATACTGGTTAGGAGTGTGGGCTCTGGATACAGACTGGAGACAAACACTATTCTGCCATGTAAAAACCTTGTGACTTTGAATAGTTTTATTTCACCATAAAAACACTCAAACTCTTATCAGTAAAACCAGAATTATATAGTACTTAAAACAGAGGGCAAACCATGTTTTACATGTCCCATTAAACTTAAAATAAAAATAAAAATTAAAAAAGTCCCTGTGTTCTGGTTTTTAAAAATATAAATGGCCAGGGATCACATTAATTTGAAAATTCTAAGGCAGACATATTGGGAAAAGAAAGCTTAATAGTCTTACAACTGAATTCTACTTATCACCTCAGGTATTCTTTAAATTTTAACTGACAAATAATTGTATATATTATAGGGTTCACTGTAAAGTTTTGATATATGTTTACATTGTGGAAAGATTAAATCAAGCCAATTCAATAAATTCAATAAAGTTTGATAGTCTTACAAATGAGTCTTCTTTTTCTTTTTCTTGTTTATTTATGATGCAGATACTCATTCTTTATTATAAAAATGGCATGTTTTCCTCCAATCTGTTGGAGTCCTCTCCCTTTGTTTGTGGTATCTTTTGTTAAATTTGCTGTCAAATTTACCTATCTTTGTCTTATATGGCTTCTGATTTTACTTATTTTTAAAATTTTTATTTATTTTATTTTTATTTTTATTTTTATTTTTTTTATTTTTTTTTTGAGATGGAGTTTCGCTCTTGTTACCCAGGCTGGAGTGCAATGGTGCAATCTCGGCTCACCGCAACCTCTGCCTCCTGGGTTCAGGCAATTCTCCTGTCTCAGCCTCCGGAGCAGCTGGGATTACAGGCACGCGCCGCCATGCCCAGCTAATTTTTTGCACTTTAGTAGAGACGGGGTTTCACCATGTTGACCAGGATGGTCTCGATCTCTTGACCTCGTGATCCACCCGCCTCGGCCTCCCAAAGTGCTGGGATTACAGGCTTGAGCCACCGCGCCCGGCCCTAAAATTTTTATTTTTTAACTTTAATTTTAGGTTTAGGAGTACCTGTTAAGGTTTGTTATATAGGTAAATTGTGTGTCACAGGGGTTTGGTGTGCAGATTATTTTGCCACTCAGGTCATATGCATAGTACCCAATAGGTATTTTTCAATCCCTACTCTCCTCTCTTCCTCTACCCTCAGGTGTGAATATTGGAATTAGACATCAAAGGATTCGAACTTTTCATAGACCTTGTTGCCATCCACAGCAGTGCTTTTCAAACGTGTATGAGTAACAGAAACAACAAAAGAACACAAGAGCAGAAAATCAAACACCGCATGTTCTCACTCATAGGTGGGTGTTGAACAATGAGAACACATGGACCCAGGGAGGGGAGCACTACACACTGGGATCCATTGGGGGGAAATGGGGGAGGGGCGGGAGGTGGGGAGGTGGAAAGAGATAGCATGGGGAGAAATGACAGATACAGGTGAGGGGAAGGAATGCAGCAAACCACACTGCCATGTGTGTACCTATGCAACATTCTTGCATGTCCTTCACATGTACCCCAAAACCTAAAATGCAATTAAAAAACAAACAAACAACAACAAAAAAGAAATAAAGAAAAAGAAAACCACCAAAAAAAAAAAATTACTCAAAATGTAGACACCTCTCACCTCACCTCCCTGGTTTTGATTCTGCAGATCTAGGACAGGCCCAAGTATCTGCGTTTTAGCAAGCAACCATGAAAATATCTGATGAAGTGGTCCATAGATCACACCTGTAAAAATCCTGACCTAAACAGCTCAGAGTTGGGTATCATAAATTTAATGCCCACTATACAGAGTGCTGGGACATCTGCAGTTTCTCTGTTAATATAATTAGCAGCAAGTACATTGGTTCTTCCCCACCACATAAGACCACAGATTGCCATAAGGGATCACACTTAAATTCCTGAGTATTCCTGGGTGGTCTAGAGGTGTGAGGATTATTATCCTGTTGGATAGACAAAGCTGGCAGAAAGATATGACTTGCCTAAAGTGTCCCCATGATGTGATCTGGGTCTCTTTCCTCTTGTTCCAGTAACCTAAGAGGATTTCAGAGTCTCTGATGTTAAACTAGGTGAGTTAAGAGGATATGAAAGCACATGGAATAGAGAAGAAAGTAAGAGGATGAGAAAGCACATGAAATGCAGGGGATGCGGTGATGATGTCTGGCCTATTCCCACTCAGTTAACTGGAAGCTGTGCAATGATGCTTTTCTTCTTCCTCAACTCCGTCCCAGAACCCCTCCCACACACAGCAGTGACACTGAAGCTCACACATAATGAAAATGTGAGCTTATTCCTGCTTGATGTTACATTTTCAAGTATTTGCTCTAGTAGTCAGGCCATTATGTTAATGCCAGAGGCATCCCACTGACAGAATGGAGGAGGCATGTTGGAATGGGGAATTGCCATTTGCTGATAGTCTACTAGGTACCACACACTGTAGGTTGTTATTTTCAGGCTTTTTTTCTTCAAGTCCTCAAAGTGATGTTCTGAGGCTGACATCAGAGCTTCCTTTTTACAGATGAGGAATAGGTTTAGAGTGCCAAGTCCGTAATTAAGAAATTTTATGGAAGCTTCAAATGGACATGAGGCCTACTATAAGGGGCTCCCACCGGCCAATTTGAGAAGACTTGAGCACCAAAATTGATACGGTTTAGATATTGTCTCCTCTGAATCTCATGTAGAATTGTAATTCCCATTGTTGAAGGTGAAGCCTGATGGGGTGTGACTGGATCATGGGGTGGATTTCTCATGAATGGTTTAGTGCCATCCCCTTGGTGGTAAGTGAGTTCTCCATCAGTTAGTTCATGCAAGATCTGGTTGTTTAAAAGTCTGAAACCTTTCCCTTGTCTGTCTCTCTTGCTCCCACTCTTGCCATGTGACATGCCTGCTACTGCTTTGCCTTCTGCCATTAAAAGCTCCCTGAGGCTTTCCTAGACGCCAAGGAGATCCTGGGGCCGTGCTTCCTGTGCAGCCTGCAGAACAGTGAGCCAATGAAACCTTTTTCTTCATAAATTACCATCTCAGGTATTTTTGCATAACATTGCAATAATGGCCTAATACAAAAAAATATACTAATAATTATACAGGGTAAACCGTTGAGGAAAATGGAAATCTCTGAGTCATATTGATGTAAATAAATGTTAATAAATACACTGATAAATAAATAAGGGAGAAGAAAAAGCTCTATCTTTTTCTCAAATGCAAACTAATTTTCCAGAAGGAATATCACAATTGGAAAACAGCCACTTAACAACTCCCATAATAATATGTGATTCAGGCAAAAACCAAAAATGAATGCTCATCCTGCACCAAATTTCACGGCAGTCGCTGAATCACCATGGTAACAATGTGAGCCAAGACAGCTAGGAAAATAACCATCACTTTGATTTGTTTTGTAGTATGTCCTAGTAAATGAACTGGTCTGATATGACTACAGTCATTAACCTGAAGTAATCCTCACAATAAATATTTCTGGCAGTTTCAGCAATATATACATTCATACACACAAACATATCCACATACATACATGTTCTCTCTCTCTTTCTCTCTCACCACCCCAGATCCCAAGAATTCATTGAGATGGATTGCTGGTGGTGAGGAGTAGGTAACAAAATAAACCCCATAATTCAATCTGTTCAATTCTGACCACATATAAAGTTGAAATCTACTGAACTATTTTACCAATGGATTTTTCTGAAGATGACCTGTTGATCTGTCTCTGGGACATTTTTTCCTCTAGTTACAGTACATTTTCAGTAACTTATGAAAGCTGGCATGAAAACACAGGCAAATGCTTGTTAAATATGAGGTACCTTTTCCATTTCATAGTCTAAGATCTCAACCTAGAAGATTAGTTAACAGCTACTTTTAAACATTTGGCTGCTGACAGCTCAGTAAAAATAAAATATGCAGAAATATAATTCAAAATACTAGCATTTATAAGAGCACTAAGAAATATGAAATAATTAGGAATAATCCATCCAAATATGTGGCAGGTCTGTACAGTGAATGCTAAATAACATTGCTAAGAGAAATTAAAGAAGACCTAAAGAGAGAGACATAATGTTTTCACGAATTGGAAGACTCAGTATTGTTAAGATGCCTGTTCTGTTTAAACCTATCTACATATTCAGAACAATCCCAATAAAAATCCTAACTGATATAGTTCTAAAAGAACCTGAAACATTGTTTCTAAAATTCATGTAAAAATACAAAGGATCTAGACTACGAAAACAACTTTGAGAAAACAAAAATGGATGACAAACACTATCTGATTTCAGGACTTCTTACAAACCCATAGTAATCAAGACAGTATGCTACTGGCATCAAGGCAGAAAAGCAGATCAAAGGAACAAAATAAACCACCTAAAAACTGACCTATATGTTGGAATTGACCCATATAAAATATATTAGACAATTGACTTTTGACAAAGGCGAAGAAGCCATTCAATGGATAAAGTGTGGTATTTTCAATATATTGTGCTGAAACAAGTGGATATTCATATATACAATTATAAACTGTGATCTATATATTGTACCACATACAAAAGACAATGCAAAAGGCACTTCAAAATGGATCATAGATGTAAATATAAAACCTAACTTATAAAACTTCTAGAAGAAATCACAGGAGAGTATAATTGTGACCTGGAGTTACATAAAAAATTCCTTGGATGAATAAATCAATAATTTGGAATGCATCAAGGTTAAAAACTCTGGG